GTCCGGCCGGCTGCATCGCGGGTGGGCCCGGCCGGCTGGGAGCTGCCCTCGGGCTCTGGGTGCTACCCACCCTGCGCTGTGTTCCATTCTGTCCTTGTTGAGAGCATCTCGGCAGCCTTTAGGTAGCATCTCTGCGTCGCTGAAATCATAAACTTAGAACCTACTGTTGATGCCATCCGCCTGTCTGATCTCTTCTTGTTCCAAATGCGATGTTCTTGTTGCTCTCCTTCAGTTTATTTCAGTAAGTGTGAGTGAGGCATCGAGATGGCAGCGCCGTGCAGGTGGTTCCCAAAGCCGTCAGCACTGCTGGCCCCAAGGCTTGGCCCTCGGTTTTCACAGTCTGTAAGTACACATGGATCTGCTTGAAGAACAGTGGAAGGTTCTTGTCCATGTCTTGCAGCCTGTGCAGAAACTGAGGATGAATAACTTTGAAGCAGTCCTCAAGGTAGTCTCGCAACACCTTGTGTCATTTCTCATTGAAAGCTTTATGATAGAAATGAGGTTGTTGCTGCTAATTTGCATTTGAATCTGTATGGAGCAGTCTGTAGGCTGCTAAATGTCTCTGAGCTGTCGAGTTCCTCATTTCCAAAGATGAAGAACTTTTCCCATTCTCTAACCTTGGAAAAAGGAAGAACATGAACTAGTTTTCCATTCCTATACGTAAGAGGAGTTTTGTTGTCTGAATTTATTGCGGAGAACGCAAAACTTGCATTGAAACCAATTGTTGCCAAACCAAGCAGTTGACCTTCCAGGGTGTAACTGGAGCAGTTGCACAGATGTTTGGCTACTCTGCAGCTATGGGAATGAACTTTATCACTGATTTGTCTTAAAGCCGTGGCTTTCACCATGTTCTTGCTCACAAGCAGAGTCAAAGAATTTTGCGGGATGGCTCTCAGTTCTCACTCATCGGGAGGATCAAGAGCTTGTCTGTCTGCAAGACGTTCAAAGAGAAGTGGCTGGACGTAGGAAAGTACCATAAGAACTCTTAAATAAAACTTCATTTCCAATAACTGAAAAGTTAGCAGACATAAAGAACTTTCAGATCATGATGGCACTCAAGCCTTGAAGCTGGTTGCTCACAGAGGTTGTGGTCTCTGTCCTCACATCTGCCGGGCTCACCATTGCCATTACTTTGGTATGCTCCATTTATCTGACAAGTTACCCGGCATTGCCCAGTGGAAAATAGGTTTTCCTTTTTTCTTAAGAGTCAACTGCCAGCTAAGATAAAACAAAACAAATTATCATAAACTTAGCATTAGTTTCATTGGTCTCAGGAAAAACTGTGCTTGTGTTGGTTGGGTAACCGCCCACTTGGTAGTAAGTCTGGAAGTTTCCATCAATTATTGCTCCACGCGTCCCTCCACACTATGGAAAACTTCTGTGTGGTGTTTTTTGGCAGAATTGTGGAAGTTCTTATGACTAAATGCTTAGTCTACCCAAAATCAAAACTGATGTATCTTCTAATGAAAATACATCAACGCATCCAACTCTTCTTACTAAATAATATCAGGATTGACATAACAGACCCTTGTATTTTTTATGTACTTAGTTAAAATATTTATAGCACTTCAATTTGAATTTGTAGGTAATGTTGCTGTGTTGAACGGTTTACATTTTGAATAGAATGATCATTTATTTCCAATACTCAATCAGTTGAGGTGGACAGGACGGTTTGTGGTGTGCAACACAGTGCTGAAATTTGACATTTGGGCTGCTGGGAATGAGTTTGGTGTGAATAGGTGAACACCTGGGTGTCTGCATCAGCAAGCAGCTGTTTGCACAAGATGTTAAATTTTTCATGGGTTTATTTAAAAATCCAAGACCATCTCCTTTGGAAAGTTTTCTTTCTAGGTGCCCCTAAGTGGTGTAGAGGTGATGAAAATAGATTTCTTTGCAAGGGCTTGAGCCCCTCTCAAAGGGTGCTGTGCTGTCGTAATCCTTGAATTAACCTTGTTGAAGAAAATAAGCGTAATCAAGCTTAGTCTTTTAGAGTGAGACTTTTCACACAGCATATCATAAGCAAAAAGAAAGTAAGCTGTTCTCCCTTGCTTCAGGGCTGCTTGCATAGTTGGGATACTGGAAGTTAATTGCAAGATTTCTCCCAGTGTTCTCAAAGCACTAACCTCAACTGTCCTCTCGTTTGCTGACCACTGTATCCCACCATTCCTTCCAGGCATTCCCATTCATGTTGGCTTTTCCATGAATAAGTCTTGCAGCAAGTTGAATGTAGTGAATTTTCTTCAAGGTTTTCTGCCAGGGGCTGCCTCTGTTCGGATCGTTTCCATCATCTGTTTTACATTGCTGTGCTAACTGCATAAAGGCACTGCTCCTCCACCTGACTTGTGATCATCTGAACTTCTCAAGATAAGGCTTCTCCAGCAGAGCATGCCTCATCAAGGACATGTTAGCAGAACTGTTTGTGCTCTTGGCATCTGTCATCTTTGCCTTTCACACTCTAGTAGAAAAATGTGTTTCTGGTCCAACAGTGGCATGCTGTATTCTGTCCTTTCTGTAGAGAACCACAATGGTAATGTAGTTTGTTATCTACCTCAGATATGTGTTGAATTGTGAGAGTAGTTTGAAGCTCTAAAAGAGCAGACATACAAATTATCATTAACTTAGTAATGCTTCCATTGAATGATGTGGTTAGAATCTCAATTAATCTAGCAGTTGCTTACAGCCTGAGTCTTGGGCTGGTCAGAAAGCTCCAGCGCTGCCCAGAAGGTTGTACCAGAGAGCAGGAGCAAGATGCAAGCGTTCTGGATGCTCTGAACTGACATTGCTAAGGTATAGCAGTCTGCTGTGCAGTCTGTGTCTGTAAGGCTGTACTGTAGTGTACAGGAGAAATGAGGACAGGTGAGTGTGATGGGGTTCTGGAGGAACATCTTTGTTCCCACTGAAAGGAGAAAAGCCAAATCACTCGCCTAATAAACTAATGTTTATGTGTCTGCATTTAAGTGAGAAGAACCTGATGCAGAATCAGTGCATCTGGGCGTAGCTGTTCCTACAGGAGTAAATTTGGAGTTCTTCCTTATGACTGTTTTTTAGCTAACTTCTTCCTGCTGGTTTTTTTGTGTCTTGATATGCCTTAAATCCATTTCAAAAGTCAGTGGAATTATTTCAGCTTTATTCTAAATGGTGTTACGTGCTCAAGAGGGCTTTTGTGAAATAAAGTTTAGTTTAGGAGAAGAGAATGGTAGAAGTCAACCAGGGCAACAGTGGCAAATGTGATGGGAAAAAGAAACAGTGATATACTTTTTTTCTTTTATAAGAGCAGGAGAGGAGAGCATCACAGAGCATCGTAGAGCAGAGGAACGTGGAAGAGAAGCAGAGCAGGAAGAAATGATGCTTGAGTTAGGAAGAAACTTTGAAGAGTAAAGCTGATTGCATGATTGCTTATCTCTCATTAAGGACTGAGATAATGAAGTAGACAAGCTCTCCAGCTTTCACCCCCAGTTATTGTTGGCACTGAACAATTAGGAGAAGGCAAAGACTGGCAGTTCCTGATGGTAGTTGAGATGATTCACCAGTGTGGGCCTATTAACATATCAGCCATGGTGTGAAGGAGGGCTGATAATCCCTGCTGTGTTTATCAACAAGCAGAAGGTGCTACGTGTGAACATTCTCCTCGTTTACATGCAGTGCCATCCTGTTGGCTTCTGATTTGGGCGTAGATCACAATGAAAAGCAGATGACTTCAGTTTTAAACGTGCGAGGGATTGCTCCTGGGTTGTATGGCTTCTCCCACCCCGGGTTGTTGTCATGTTTCTCAGTGGTAGCTTAAGGATTCACCTTCCCTTAAAGACGTGGTGATAGCACTCAGTTAATGAGATCCCTTCTGGGTTAAGTGGAGTCGCAGCAATTGCGTGCTGTGCAGAATGTCGTCACGCAAGTGAGCTTTTGAAAGAAGAGGCCAAAATATTGAAGTATGTGCTTGTAATCTGGGCAGTGCTGCCTTCGTTGTGAGATGCTGGAGTGCGAAGTTTGGTTTGGGAGAATTGCTTGCTGTGCGTTGCAGCAGAAATAGGTGATGTTGTGTGGACAGGTCTGGTTTTGGAGCTTTTTGCAACTGTGTAACTTCATGAGTTTCAGTTTTCTTCCGCTGCCATATGCTGTGAGGAATGGGAGTTCTCCAATCTTCAATGGAGGTGTAGCTTAGCCAAAATCTCATTGGTTGTAGTGACTTAACCAGAGTGGGAAAGTTCAGCGAGGGTTCAATGGAAGAATTTCTTTGTTGTTAAAAGACAAGCCTTTGTTGTGGATTCCTCGCTTTGCTTTCTGTGTGGTGTGTGTGCATTTCTTCATTTGCAGAACCAAATGAAGGCTCTGGGGCAGCGCATCGTTCCCGGTGCAGGAGGAGCTGCACGGCGAGCATCTCCCAATGCTCTGCACAGGTTCACAGCTGTGATCCTTCAGGGAGAACACACCTTAACGTCCTGGTGTTTGACACCAGCTCGCAGCGCCTTGGTGCTCCGGGTTGTGGGAGCCATTGGTCAGCAGAGGCTTTGTTTGGAGCCGGCCCATGAATATTCAGAAATCCTAGGAATCTCGGAGAAATCTGGGGGCAGAAAGGGACGATCCGAGTCTGCGTGTCCCGGTGGATTGTTCTGTTCTAGAAAGGGAGAAATGAAATGCCAGCAGCAGGTGCCTAGCTCAGATTGTAGGAAGCTTCCACTTAAGAAGGATACCAAGAAACTGTACTTTTTGAAGGGGAAGATGGGACCCACGAGAAACCCAGCGCTGCCTGCCTTTGTCCTTTCACATGTATAGGTGTTTGGATTTTTTTTAATGCATCCCAGCATCCATCTCATTACTTTTAGACTAAAACCATAGAAGTTATTAAAACCAACCTTTCACAGTGCTGAGAAACCCACCTAACTCAAGCCCTTCCCCGGGGCTCCATCTCCCCACGGCGCATTCAAAGCCCACACGGTGCTGCCCAGGCTGTGCGCTCCCCCCTTGGGCTGCTGCCTGGGCCGGCTGGGGGGGCCCTGCAGCTCCCAGCTCCATGTTTGGCTCGCTGACCCCGCCGGCTTCTCTTCCTGCTGCCAATCTGTTCCTGCAGGTACCTACGGCAGGCCGGCTCTTTGTTACCTTCTGCTCTTCCTTCCCCAGGTGCTCGAAGGTACGGATGGCTGAAGCCGGCTGCAGTTGGGCTCCAGCAGCTCTGCTGCTGGTTTAAGGCTCCTGCTGTGAGGTTTGCACGGCTGGCAGCTCGGCATCCCTGCCGCTGTTACGTGGGAAAGGTCAGGGGATGCTTCCTGGGCTGCCAGCACCTGGTTCCTGAATGGCGGCGAGGATTGGAGTGGCTTGGAAAAAAAAACCCTCCATCTTCCTTAGCAGAGTGCTGAAGCGAGGGGGTGTGCTGTGGTGTGTAGGTGCAGGGAAGCTGTGCAGACAAATTGAGGGATCTCTGCCTATTTTTAGTTGCAGTTTTCTTAACATCTGCTTCCTTCCCACAGTTCGCTGCTTGGCGATGCGGTACAACCTAGGATCAGACTTCAGAAGGCTTGCTGTGTGTGTTAAGTTGCTCTGGGCCTTGGGGTTAAAGACATAATTTTGCATACAAAGCCAGGGTGCAGCCACAAGCTGCTTCTCTCTCCTTATCACGCACTAAAAAGCCACTGATTCTTTGATCTGTGCACACTCTGCCAACCTGGGATGCTGTTAAAGTATGGCACAGGTTCTTAGTTATGTCAGATGAGCCCATTGTATGGAATGGTAAGCAGTGTCCTGCCACCCGCTCAGAGCAGTGGAGGCACTAATCCTAACACCAGCATACCATTCAAGAGATGCAGTGACATAACTAGTGGATGGTGTTTGCTTTTCTATTTTTTAATATATTTATAAAAGCAGCGCTTTGGTTGTAAAGAATAGTTAAAAAACACTGCTTTCAGGAGTGCCTAATTGTTTTGTCATTATTTCTTGTGTTATTTATTGCCACCTCACCAGGCAGAGCGCTGCTTTCTGCACAATGCTGGCTAATGAGGCAGAGTCACTAAGGAGGATATATTTTAAAACATTTAATTTTACTTCCATCACGCTCCAACAATTCTGTATCAGCTCTTATGCTCACTGCCTTAGAAGCACTAAGTGTCATTAAGTTCCTCCCTGGCAGAACACTCAACTGAAGTGATCAAGTGAAGGTGTTTCAAGGTGTGATTGTGCTGAGTTTTGCTTTTGAAACTGGAAGTCAGTTTTGAGGGCTCTGCTGGGAGTTTGGAGCCCGGGGTTTTATATTTCCATTCTGGATCCTTTTTGTCCTGCACTTATCTGGGGCTCACGCTGGGATATCGAGGTGCCTCTTCATGGGACTGTACGAAATGACCACAGGAAACACCTTCTGAAAACCAGTTCCATGTTTCCCTTTGCAGTTCTTTTGCCCCCTTTTTATCACCGAATCTTCAAAAACTGCTAGCAGAAGAAATAAAAAGCATTACAGCAAATGGCAGCTGGGAAAACAGCCTGTGCTAATTCAGGAAAAAAAGTGTATGAGCCCATTTTGGGGCATCGTTTTGTTAGGGAATACATATGTGTACACATGTGTGTATTTATGTGTCTTTGTGCATATGCAGATACATGTGTGCCCATACACACAAGCGTGCCACCACTTGCTCTGGTTGCTGCTCTTTGGATGTACAGCATGTGAGAGATCTGATGCTGTCCGCCATCCAGGGCCGTGTGCTGCCTCAGCTCAGGCTGCTGCCGTTACCAGGAGTGGGAATTCTGTTTCACAAACACATCTCGTGTGAACTTGTGACCATAAACACAAATCATCCCCTGCATCACAAACCGTTTTAAAGAAAGATGATTTCATAGGGTAGCTCTATGGCTGACTTCCTAATAAATTATTTTGAGCTTGTTGAAGATGCTCGTGGCAGTGCCTAATGTGCACTTGCAGATGTCGCCGTCGTGCTGAGCTGTGCCTTGTCATTTCTTTGAATGGAAGAGTGAATTACACATGTCCAAAAGCTGGGATATTTTCCTACGTGTACAGAGGATCTCAAAAGAGTCGAGAAGCTGCTTTGATAGAAATTTGCTTCGGGGAGAGGATGGTCGTTGCTCCATCTCAGCTAAATGACCAGAGTTCAGTGCAGTTAGTTAGTATCCCTTTGCTATCAAATCCCGTTATTGGACGGCCTGCCAGAAAGAACAGCATGGAAATGGAGGTGCTGAGGAAGGAGAGATGAGTTAAACAAATCTTGTTATCTTTTAGGCAGAGGAGTGCTGCCCAGAGTTGGCCATTGGAAAGCAAGCTTTGTTTCTCCATGGTGCACACACTGCACTTCAGACACACTGTTAACTTCATCATCTGTCAGAAAATGCTGCATGAGAACAGGTTGTGTGCAGCACTCAAATCATCCTCTGGTTCTTTGTCCATTGTGCTCCTCTGACTCTCGTTATCTCATTATTAGGAATGTTGACATTCCCTTCTCCACCTTCTCAAGCTAGCAGGGCTAATTCTGAATTTGTTGTGTAATTCTTTTCTGTATGCTTCTGAACTTGTGGTAATTGTGACTTCTCAGCAATGTAAGATTTTTACATAGAACTCTGCGTGGGGCAAGAAAGGAAGGAGGAGGAGTTGTGATTCTTCATGTTGGTTTGGCTTTTGATTGGATGCGTTTTAGAAAAATACTTCCAGGTTGACCAAGATAATGATGCAGTGCTTTCCTTTTTACAGTTTGAAGATAAATCTGATGCAGTATTTGATATTACAGAAAAATGTAAGTATATTTCTTTATTTCTGTAAGACATAGCCCAACAAAGCAATTCTTAGAAGTACCACTGCTGACAAAAATGCTACCTTTGCCCTTCTCCTAACCCCTGCTGCTTGTTCCCTCCCCACACTACTTTCTGCACAAATAATACAAATGATAGGAATTAAAGTCCTTACTTTCTTGTTGTTTTTTCTCAGATCAGCTTCTGTTTCACTGTGCGGTGAGTGGGACAGAACTGTTTCTTTGTCAGCAGTATTTGATCAGTAATGTTGGTCCAAGAAGGCTTAACGGGTTCAAGGAATTGCAACATTACACGGATTAGCAAAGGACCCTTTTACTCGCTTTGTTACACGCAAAGCTGGGAGATGCTCTGACTGTTCACAATTTTCTTTTCCCTAGGTAGTGAAATCCTGGATGCAGAAATGTCTGAGGACGCTGTGCACAACTTACCAGCCACCCTCGACAGCGTTTCTTATGAAATACAGAATCGAGCAGGATCTGAAAACTCCCTGCTGGATGATGACGACGACGATGATTATTTTCTGAACTCTGGGGATTTGGCAAGCATACCTGTTGTTGGGAGCGACAACGAAGATGATCAGAGTTTCACTCCAAAAGACACTCTCCCTGCTGAAGACCATCTGGAAGAGGGCAAGAGGGTTACAGAACACGAGCTGGACAGTGAAAAAGATATTCAGATCGAAAATGCAATCCAGAAGGATCTCACTTCACCTTTTGAGCAGGGTCCTGTATTTAAATCAATTCAAAAAGATTTTAGCATCGCAAGAGATAATGGCAAAGAGACTTTTTCAACAAAAGACAAGAATAGAGAAGTAAATCTTCAAGAACATGAAAAACGGTTGGAAAAAATCCCTAAAGATACGGATTCTAGATTGAAAAGCAGTTTTCTTGACAAAGCAGGTAACTGTTGACATCGTAGACCTGGCTGCCCAGCAAGGAGGAAGGAAGAGCTAGATGGAAATTAGCAATAGGAATAGCTGAAGGCATCATCTCGGCGAAGATAACGTGCATTGCTGTATGGAGGGAAACATTCTATCCAGAACCCTGAAATACAGCAAACTGTGTTAGGAGTAGGATGTGCAAAAGGGCCTGGCAGCATCGGGGGGTGTCTCATCAACCACAGCCTGTTTTGTAGCCTCTTCATATCCTTTGTTGGTGTGGTTTAGTAAACCGAACTGGGTGACCCCTTGAGCTTCCTTTGGTTTTGTCATCCAGCCCCCAAAGCTCCTTTAAGGAATAGATGATGACATTTTGGCTTTTGCTGGCTGGAAAGATTTTTTTGAGCAAAGTGCCAGTTCTTCATTATTGCCCGTGCTTAAAGCAGCATGTTTTTCATAGTAACATCACAGGAAGGCTTGCTAGAAATATTAGTGCCTGCAGGAAGTCAGCCAGGGAGTAACTTGAGATCTGCTTTTCCTAGGAGGCTGCTCTCCTTTTTCTTCTGATACTTGCATCTTGGACTTTGTCCAGCAGCATGGAGAGAACCAAAGATGCCTGTAATGCATTTCTCATGTGAGGGAGCCTGAAAGTCACCAGCAGTCTTGCTGCCCACACACCTGGTTTTGATTTCCCACGCTCTGAAAATTACAGTAAAACAGTGAATGAGAGCGTTAAGAATAACCAGGGTGGAATGTGCAATTTAATTTCATTCTGAAGATTGTACAGAGTGAGGGCTGGCCAACAAGTGAGAGCCTCTGACTGCTTGTCGAGACTCACTGCTTACATTTCTGATGTTTAGACTTTGTGCATACAGTAACAGCATCTTAAAATCAGTGCTTTCAGGTTCTACAAATGGTAGAGAAACAATACCAATATTTTTTTTAATATCTTTTAGTATCTTTTTACTCTTGCCTTCAGCTAGAAATTTAGCAAAGAATATTTCTGTGCGAAAGACTTCTTTCAGAAGATGGTAAATATCTACAGTCACAAAGTTGTAGCTGAAAGCTGTGCAGCCTCAGGTGGGGTAGCCAGTAATTGATCAGCTTTAGTGGATGCTGACGGGCAGCATCGAATAACCAGGCAAATCCAGTATTTTTTAAAAGATGTATTGCTGAAAACCTGCCGTTTCCTGAGGAAAGGGAAAAGGCAAAAGACAATGAGAAAGATGAAAGTTGTTTCTCTGAAAATTACTCTCTGATTTAATAGTAGAAACGTGGCAGAATTAGGAACTCGATTCAATAGAAAGTTCAGAATGAACAATTCTGCCTCAGAATTATTGGACTGTTTTGCTGGCATAAGAAAATAGTGGCTCAGAAGGCTAATAAAAATATCAATTCTCTTTAAGGATTACCATCTTATTTACAGGGGAGTTATTTTAATGCTTCTGAAGTGCTGCCAGACTCTGGGGTTGGGGATCAGAATGAGACTAGATAGTTTGTAAGGAAATGCTTTGGAATCTGTATTCATTTCTATTTAATGTATATGTTTTCCTCAGTTCATAATCAAGTAGAAGAAACATTACGGACGCAGTTAGCGCCACAAACTCCAGAAACTAACTTCAGGGTAAGCTATAGATCTTTCAAACACTTTTGCAAGTGCAGCAATATGCTGGAATAATTCAAAATACTTATGTTATATTTGAGTGTAAATTTGAGTATCAAGAAAACTGATCTTCTGACTCATAGACGTCTTTGCTACTTAAACAATCTGCATATAATTTTGTACAAATTTTGCTGACCCTCTCTTTGAATTGAGGATTCTCTTGATAGCCACTCTCATGTCCAGCATGGTCTGACTGTGACGGGTGAGTTGATTCCAGACCTGGACGCATCCATCTGACCTGTTGCCTTTTTTCCAAATGAAACAGGGAACAGCTCTATGAACAGGAGACACTGCCCAGCCAACCAAGTGCCCTCACTGACAACCATCTTAGAGAGCTGGGTGGCTTCTGCTTTGTCCAGAGGAGTGAAGAGGATTGGGGGTGGGATGGCAGCGGGTGCTGCAGGGAGGTAGAGGCAGCGGCTGCTGCCCTTCGTTTCTCCCACCTTCCAGTGGCAGGACCCATTTCTTTTGGTCTGCAACAGAAACTCCCCTTGGCATCAGCCCAACTCCTCTTGGCAGATGCAGGAGGGTGAATTCTTTTTCATATTATTGTTTCAGGAGTCTAGCTACCTATTTTCTAGTAAGGAATCTATTGGACAAGAGCTGGGGAATTCCTTTGCACCAAATATTAGAATTAAGGAGGAGCCTTTGGATGACGAATATGATAAAGCTATGGCCCCACAGCAGGGACTATTAGACAAAATTAAAGATGAACCTGATAATTCTGAGGTAAGTTTCCCATTGCATTTCTCATTTTGGTCTGACAACTGACCGCATAAGCTGGACATAAGTTCAGCATTTCATTTGGTTTGTTGACCGAAATTTAACTTGAAGAACGTAGTTTAGTAGAAGAATTTCTCCCTCTAATTCTACCATGGAACCCAAACCCTCAACTTTTTGATCTCATGTTTCCATGTCGCTGAGTTTTTATGCTTTTCAGCTAGAGACGAGGCAAACTGCTGTACAACTTGCATTATTAAATCTGTGGCAATATAGGCACTTCATCTCTACTAGATCTCACTAGAAAATAAGTCATGTCTCATTGAGTATTTTGTGGATTGTCACAGAGCTGCACAGTTCAAGCAGTGCTGTTCCTGCTACTTCCCTCTTTTAAGGTTGGCGGTTTGAGCACAGTGCTTCTTTGTTCTGTTTTTATAAACATTTCCAGTTAGAGGTCTTAGCTCACAAAGAACATTTAAATACATGCAGCTCGGTGAGGTCAAGTGGCTTTGTCATTTCAGGCTGACATCTTGTGTGATGTTACAGCTAAGAGTTCAATAATTGCAAAATGGAGAAAGTCAGAACTGTTGAACAATGCCAGGACAAGGATTGCTGAGCCCTCCCCTCTCTGCTTGCCACTGGCTTGCAGTGTTACACCAAGGAGATGATCCATGTTGCAATTCTTGTCTCTTCAGTGCTGATATTTGGGTTGTGTGCCCAACTTTACACGCACTGAAGGTGCACGAAACTTCCAAGGCGACTCATCCCACTTGCGCTGGCAGTAGTTTTGGTGTTCTAGCTCAGGCATTCATTTTTCCAGTCTCATTCTGTGTACTTTTGCTATACCTCATCTTATTCCTGGGCCCTTCTTTTCAGCATTTTTTCTTCTCTTCCCACCGTACTGTTGGGTAAATGAAATAAAAAAGTTCACTGAGTGTTTGAAACTGTTGAGATTTCACTGCCCTTCTGATTTGTCCTGTTCTTGGAGATTAATATCTAACCATGTGTAGATTAGTTAAACCTGTTTCTTCTTTTGTCATCCCCAAATGGCACCTGCTGTATGGATTTGTGTGGATGTGCAAGATGCTAGTGGTTATAAAAGATGACACTAATGAGGACATTTGGAGACCTGAACAATCTGAAGTATCTTATTGATCAAAATATTAATTACTGGGGTAAAATTCTGTAACGATCAACTTCGATACTGGAAAAGTGTGAGAACTGATGATGGTTCATTTTGGTTTGCTTTAAATCAGAAAATAATGTGTTTTACATCTCTTTTTCCTGTGCATTCTGAAAGAGGAGAGCATTCCTTGCTGCAATTGCTAGTTGGAGCTGGAAGCTCCCTGCTTCCAACAGTTACACTGCTGTGAAACTGTGCTTCACCCTGCAGAGCTGATGTTGGCATTTGCTTCAGTCTCTATTACTAGTGTTAATTTTAAATGCTTAAAAATACACGTTCCTGTAAATAACTAGCTTTTAAATTGTGATATTAGAGTACAAGCAAGCACGGTACTCTAAAACCCATCATCATGGTGCGCTCATACACAGCTTAAAACCTCCCTTCCTTGCAATGTGAATGCATGTCTGCTCGTTCAGGTGAGGAGATAAGGCTGTTCTCCTGGGAAACCTGTTGAGCAGTTGGTTGCCTCGTGCAGAAACTTGTGATTTTGCCACAGGAGCATTGACTCATGGCAGGGCTGCATGGCAGGGTGTGATTTTTCGGAGGTGGATTCAGCTGAGGGAGCAGTTTGCTGCTGCTGAAAAGAGAGAGCTTATTTTTGCCCAGTGATTTCGAATTGGCTTACCTTGCAGTCAGACAGCAACTGTTAATTTAGCTCAATCATAATATGACATCATGGCCTCGCTATTCTCCAATGACTGTAAGTAGGTTAAATCTTATCATCCCCGTGGCTCTGTGAGATTATTCTTTTCAGCCTATTAAGATGCACATGTAGAGCATTACAAGCTGCTTTACGGTTTGAATTTCTAGGAAAAGCATGGGCAAGAGGCATGGTGTCCAAGTCTGAATAGCTGCTGTGAGGTAAGCTAGTAATTTGTAGGATGTCAGCTATTCCATAGGCAACTGTCTGCGGGGATTTTCTCATCTGTACAAAATGCAAGGTTGTTCCCCTCCACTGAAGTCAGTCTAAGTGTGGATTGCAATGGTCTGCGTGCTGCCAGCTTCGCAGCACTGCTGTGTGGAGCTCAGCTGACTGAGAAAATTAAAAAGATTACAATAAAAAGAGGGTTCGTTTTTTTCTGATTCGTCATCCCTCAGTCAGGTCCGGTTCAGGATGGGGCAGAACATGGTTGTCCCAGCTGAAGATTTCTTAACATGCTGTAAAGCTTCACCTCGGGCTCCTCCCAGGTCCTTCACCTCAAAGTTAAGCACAGAACGCTTCTCGCCAGCCAGGGCTCAGGTTCTGTTCTGTTACAGTTATCTGTGAATTGGAAAACAGAGCTGGTTTCCAAGAGTGAGGGTAAGGACTGCAGAGCACTTCTGGTTGGACAGTTTGTGTAAATGGAATGCAAATATTTATCTTAAGACGTTGATGCTGAATTGTGAGGTGCGTTGGGATACAGGTGGGGAAGGGAAGGCAGCAGGCATCTGAGTTCTGCCTGATGCTCCCAGCTGTACACTTTGCTGTGAACCCCTTGGGCAGTTCTTTGTGTGCTGCTTGTATGGCAGCAGCTGTGAGCCTGGCCTTTGGGACAGGCTGAAGAGGTTCTTTCTTGCCTTCCTGGGCCTTAAGATTCAATACAGCATTCCAGAAGAATGGAAATCATGCAACCTGTTATTACATGTGTGTATTTGTTCTCCTTTTCCTTTCCTTTTGTTTCAGGAGTACGGCCAACAGCCAAAAACTCAGGAAGGGGAGCTGAAAATCAGTGCTGTATTTTCAGTCAGTGGCAGTCCTCTTGGTAAGGAACTGGCAAGACTTAACTTGATTTAAGTCTATAAAATGGCATCACCTCAGCAAATAGCCTCGCAGTTTATTCTGTGAGAATAAATTTTGTTTATTTAATATATATTATTTATATAACCCCAGTATTAAAAAAAAAATTGTTTTGCTTTAGAGATGATGAAAATCACAGACTGAAAAATAATTGCATCTTTGAGGCAAGGGAGAACTGAACGTGAAAGCAGTGTTAAAAGTGCATTCTTATTCTTAAGAGCAGTTGAAACAATCCACTCTGCAGAAAACCAGCACAGGGCACGTATTGTAGAGAGTTCCCTTGCTGTTTGCTTCTCCCTTAGAGCCTGACGATCCCAACGAAGCCATAAGCTTTATGCTTGCTCCCTGTGCATAAGTAAATCATGTGTAATATGTATCTTAACAGCTACTCTGTTTTCTCTCGCTCTCTTTCTTTTCATTTTAGCTCCACAGCTGTCATCAGGTTTCCAGCCTGCTGTGGCATCCTCTGGCATGAGTAAAATGCTTCCTTCAGTTCCAGGCACAGCTGTTCGGGTTTCCTGTTCTGGCTGTAAAAAAATCCTCCAGAAGGGGCAGACTGCATACCAGAGGAAAGGCTCTACCCAGCTCTTCTGCTCCACACTGTGCCTCACTGGATACACTGTTCCAGCTTGTCGCCCACCAGCTTCTACCAAGAAAACCTGCTCCAGCTGCTCGAAGTAGGACAGCCTTTTAAATTGTTTGAGAGTAATTGTTGCTCAAGCAGATGATGAGAAGGTTTCAGTTTTCGTCTTGTTCTGTTGGGTTTTCATGCTGTTCTGTAATGCCCACTTCACGCTTCCCTTCTGTAAATGATGGTGTGATTTGTTAATTGATCTGTCTGCTTTCAGTTCCATTTAGTTCACTGTGTTTTGCATACAGGTGCATTTAAAAGCCTCTGTTGTGAAGTGTACCTTTTGTATTTTTGCCACGTAAAAGATGGAAACATGGAACATAGAAAACATGGATTCCATGTTTTCTAACACATACTACCTGTGTTGGAAAAGGGACTTCACTTCCCTCCTGTTCTGAGATGTCATTGCACTCCAAACAGCTAACAGATACTTTAAGAAAATATTTATTGTTTCCTCTTGGTGAAAATAGATTTACTGATGCCTACTAATGAAGTAAAACACAGATAAATTAATGTGTTCTGCACAAGGCAGACCCTTAGATTCTATTAAAAAAAAAAGAAAAAGCTTTCCAGTCTGGCTCCATTCTGTGAGCTCAGATTTACATAGGTGTGAGTTCTTGAGTTCTTCAAAATATGTTACTGCTGCTATTACATCATCATGGTCAAACCTTCATAAGATTACAGAGATTAAGCATATCAAGAATTGAGTGTTTCAAAGAGTTGGGGCTTCAGTATTCAGTCAGTTGCTTTCTGCATAGAGCCTGCTTCAAAAAAAAACACTTTAGGATAGAAGATTTGCATTTTCCACTGGCCTGCTGGGAACACCAGGGTGAATCTTCAGCTCTAAGAAACATTTCAGTTCTTCATATTCTGTTTTAGTTTGTATTATTATCTCCAAATTAGCAGAAGGACGCATCTGTGGCCAGCTTTTAGAGCTGTCACTGCTATTCAGGAGCTTGAGGCAAGTCAGTAACTGCACAGACTGATTGGTCTGGGCTCTCTTTACAGAGGACAGTGATTCACATGAATTATTTGTAGTTATGAAAGTTACTTTGCAAAGTGAATGCTGCTTTGTTCATGCATCATTTCTTAACAATAGATTTATTGCTTCCTGTTTTACAAGGTCAACTGAACTTCAGCTTGAGACTTCAGTTAATTATTCCTCTTTCTTGCTCTCTTGGTGTAAAAAGACCTTGTAACAGTCTTGGCTGCAATTTGTATTTATTAAGATGGAAAATGGTTTATATCTGAAAAGACAAGAAAGAAGGAGGCGTCCCTCCATCCTAGAAAGGAATATAAAGATTTCTTCCCAATTTAAACACTCATTGAAAATGTTCTGTGAATGACAGTTTCAAAAGAGAGACTTAAACAGTTTATTAAATCCAATGGCAGAGAGAACAGTAGGTTGGAGATTAAAGAGGAAAATAATTGTCAGACCATTTGGGGCACAACTAAATGGGAATTAGAAATCCTCACCTTTTGTTTTTCCCCCTTCCTTTCCTTATCCCGTGATTATTGATATTTTCACTGTTAAAGGGAATTCATCCCCATGTCCTGCTTTAAAAAATGGTTTAGTAAGTACTGTGCAAAACCTCCCAGTTCCATCTGAAAGGAAATTATGCAACCTGATGTCTTTGTAGGCCACTCTCAAGACAAGGTACAAAATGTTTCCCAGTGTATTTACTTGAGAATTGCACCCCACTGCTTTACTAATGGGAAAAGGAAAATGAAGATGGGTGAAAAGAAAATCTCTGAATTAAATAAATCCACCATCTTACAGAAAATGTTTAGTCTGCCAAAGTGGGAAGGAGAGCGAGTTGCCATGAAACCAGTGTTTAATCTCTGGGCTTGTTTTTCTTTTTTTTCCTGTAGAGAAATTCTAAATCCAAAGGATGTAATCACTGCCCAGTTTGACAACACGAATTCCAGCAAGGATTTCTGCAGCCAGTCGTGTCTTTCTACGTATGAAATGAAAAGGAAACCAATTATTACTATTCACACTAACAGCATTTCAACCAAGTGCAGCATGTGCCAGAAGAATGCAGTGGTAATGGCAAACTTCTTCTCCGTTTAAGCTTCCTTTAAATCAGGGAACTTGCATTTCCTTTCTGTTCTTGTTAATATCCTTTCTTCTCTTCCAGATCAGACATGAAGTGAATTACCAGAACGTCGTACACAAGCTTTGCAGTGATGCCTGCTTCTCCAAGTTCCGCTCTGCTAATAACTTGACCATGAACTGCTGTGAGAACTGTGGAGGTTACTGCTACAGTGGGTCTGGGCAGTGTCGCATGCTGCTGATAGAGGGACAGTCAAAAAAGTTCTGCAGTTCGACATGTGTGACACTATACAAGCAGGTATATTTTGACACGGTGTTAGAAGAACATCTTTGGTAGGTTTTGGTTTATTAGCTGATGGTTTCTGTTGCTTTCATAGTCTTAAGATGCTTCCTTTGCCATTTGCTGCTTAGTTTTCGCTAGAAATGTTGCTCTGTTTCCTTTACCACTGCAAAGACAAGCTGAGTATTCCAGTGTGAGAGAAGACACAGTGGGACCACTTGGCAGCAGTCTGCTGTGGCACATTTGGGCCATCCTCTGAGGAGTTAACCATCATCTGACAAAGCACACAAACCTCACGAGCAAAGCCCTTTTGGCAGCCTTTGGGATTGCTCTGAGCGTTCTGTGCTGTGACAGCAGTGGTGCAGTTTCACACCAGCTGCCTGAGAATTCTTAACAATCAAGAGCAGTTTAACTGTAGGGTATCTCACGCTACGACACATCCTTCCTGACACTGAAAAAGAGATTATATCTGAAATTATGTCTTTCTAAACACCTTGTCTCAGGCATGCTCTACAGCTTTATGGTCGTGGGTACCTTAAGTAACAGAAAAACACGAGAGAGCACTTCGTTTTTGACCCATTTCAGCTGTGAAAATTGTAGCATTTGAACTAAGTGGAAAAGTGGTAATTAGTTGATCATTTTAATTGTCATTTTTAACTTCTTTAATATTTTAATTTTGATTTTAATGGTGTTGGGTTATGAAAAATACTAAGCTTCAGATGCATGACCAGTTTTGCTGTTTCCACAGAAGTCAGCTAAAATTACACCCTGTGCACTGTGTAAATCCTTGAGATCTTCAGCTGAGATGATAGAGAGCACAAATAACTCGGGAAAAACTGAGCTGTTTTGCTCTGTTAACTGCTTGTCAGCATACAGAGTAAAAATGGTTACTTCGTCAGGTAACTTTATTCCTTTATTCTGTTACAGACATAATTTCACAGGGCTTAAATCCAAACTTGGTCTTGAAAGTTAAGGCTGATGTTCTTTTCTGGGGTGTAGAAAGCAGTGTTTGTTTTAAGGGAAGGTGCTGAGATGGGAGCCTAAGGATTTTGTAAAGTAATTAAACCTAACAGTGACAGTGTAGCCATTTCAGCTTTGTTTATAGAGATCTGAGAGATGATAACAAACCTTAATGTATTTTCTGCTGGTGTAAGTGAAGGCCAAGGAGTGGGGGGGGGAGGCTTCTAGTGTCCTAGGGGTACTGGGAGAATAATGAAAGGATCTGGCAAACAGCAGCCACTGCAGCTGTGGTGTCTGCTTCTGTCTTGTGCCTTAGCGTGCACTTTGTCTTGTCATGCAGAACCTCTGGCTTTGTATGCACGGTGCAAAACTACCTGCAGGGGGACTCGATGTTGAATAAATCACTTTTTCTTCTCTGTTTCACTCTCAGGTGTTCAAGTTCAGTGCAACAGCTGTAAAACTTCAGCCAACCCTCAGTATCACTTGGCTATGTCAGATGGGAGCGTACGCAATTTCTGCAGCTACAACTGTGTGGTAGCTTTTCAGGTGTGATATCTGGGATTTCTTCTTAGCTCGATTAATAGAGTAATAAATCAAATACCTGGGGTGTCGGGTAAAATACACAACTGTAAAATAAGGCTCTTTTTTTTGCTCTTTGCAGAATTTGTTCAACAAACCTGCAGGAGTGAACTCCTCAGTCGTACCCCTGTCTCAAGGTCAAGTCATCGTAAGCATTCCCTCGGGGACAACGGTGTCAGCAGGTGGCACCACCTCCACTGCATCTCCCAGCTCTGGGAGCAGTTCAGCTGCAGCTGGTCTACAGAGGCTGGCTGCCCAGTCCCAGCAAGTCACTTTTGCCCGCAAGGTTGTAAAACTCTGGTGTCAGCACTGTAACAGATTATTTGCAACCAAGCCAGAACTGCTTGACTTCAAGGTAATAAAGACCAGGACTTCTCTGGCTTGTCTCTCTCAATCAGACAGCTCAGAAGTTATAACCTCTATGGCCGTGGTCTGTTGGTGCTGCTCTGTTGTGTGCTGTGATCTGCTGTGGGGGCATTTGGAACCGATTTTGTTATCATTCAATCGTTATCAAAATTAATACTGAAAAACAGAAAACAACTGAAAAACAGAAACCCCACACTCAAACCATTACGTGTTGAAATAAGCACATTCCTGATCCTTCATCCCAGAGATGATCTTTTAATTCCTGCACAAAGCACATGGGTGAGGAGTTGTGGCAGAAAATTCTGCTGTCTTTGCTGAAAACCTATTTGGACTGACTTTGCTGGTGCTGTCTGTTGATGATTTTTCAAGTGCATAAATATGCTGAGTTCTTACGATTTAAATGTAGTAACTGGATATGAAATATTGAAACCGAAACATTCTGACTGTGTCGCAGGGTAAAATGTTCCAGTTCTGTGGGAAGACCTGCTGTGATGAATATAAGAAGAGGAGGAGTGTAACAGCACTGTGTGAATATTGCAGAACTGAGAAAATTATCAAGGAGACGGTGCGAATCGCGGGCATAGATAAGCCATTCTGCAGTGAAGGTAAGAAAGAGCAAGGCTGTCTCTCAGAGAAATGAAGTTAGAAGAGTCTTGCCTTAAAATTATTTGTGATACTAAGGGAAACCTAATAAACCAGGTCAGAAAAATTTATTTTAGGCTTAGAAACCTGGAAGTTCATTCACACTTTAATGCTGTATTTCAACAAATGATTCCAGAACCAGAAATGCCAAACACACAACAGTTTGATATTGAAGGATGCTTTTGTTATTCTGCTGTTTTTCCTTCTCTTAGGTTGCAAACTGCTCTATAAACATGACTTGGCTAAGCGCTGGGGAAACCACTGTAAAATGTGCAGCTACTGTTTGCAGACCTCCCCCAAACTGGTCCAGAATCTCTTTGGGGGGAGAATGGAAGAATTCTGCTCAGAAGAGTGCATGTCTAAATTCACAGTTTTGTTTTACCAGGTAAATGACAATGTCATATTCTCTATAACACAAAGGTGTTAGTGGAACTTCTGAAAGTTAGGAGCTGTGTTAAATGCCTGTGGTTGACCTCCGTGTCCCTGGAAGGTATTACATACACATATGAGAGATGAGGAAATCCTTCTCAACTTTGGAGTGGCAGTTTCATAAATAAAGAAAACCTGATATGTCTCTGGGGGGGGGGAAAAACCTGAGTGTCCTGCTGCTTTGTGTCACACTGATGCACTCTTAAAGATTTATTTACACTGTGTTTGCTGAGCGTGTTGTGAAGAGGTTGGTTTGCATACACGCTTTGTTGCCTTTAACACACACGTTTAATTTCTCTCTCGCTGTTGTCCCAGATGGCAAAGTGTGATGGTTGTAAGAGACAAGGTAAACTGAGCGAGTCTCTGAAATGGCAAGGAGATGTGAAACATTTTTGCAATCTGCTTTGTATTCTGATGTTCTGTAAGCAGCAACGTACTTCTGACCTTCCAGCCTCAAACAACACAGGTAAAACGGGATGTGGCCAGCATTACCTCTTAATGTGTGCGATAATGATAGGAATGTTTCTTTGGAAACTCCATTTAGTGAATTTTTACAGCCCTCTATTGAGGTGCTTGTCCATTGTAATTGAATGGGCTCAATTTAAGATATGTCTTTTACTTCAGGCAGTTTCAAACTTTCATAGGTATGAAATGGTGTTGCTCATGAAGCAAACCTGTATTTTGATTTTAGGTATTAAACATAAGCACTTACTTTTTATCTGCTTTCCTAAAAAAAGAAGCCCATTTCAATAGGCTGAAATGTACTGATATCTGTTGAAGGCATGATAAATACTCAGCTTCCTGTACTTGGTAAGGCAGAGATAAAGGAGAATGTTAATGTTCATTTAACAAGAAAAGTCAAGCGGATAAGTGCTTAGGTTTAGTGGCTGTAAATGTTTGTTTTGATGTACGACTTGTTGCTGGTTCTGTGTTGTCAGTAGGCGTTGAAGACTTGCATTTTCTGTGTCATTAAGTGTTGATTCTTCGAGTATCAGTTCTGAGGTTAATGTATGCTGTAGCTGTTTTGTTGCTCATTATTTCAGCAGTTGGAATGGGGAGGAGGGTGGGAGTGAAGCCCACAGGAATAGGAACTGTGAGTTTCTGTAGGGAATGAAATGCAAAGGGAAGAAAGGAAGAAAGGCGCACAAAGACAGGAAGAGGAAGCGAAGCAAAGGGCAGAAATAGCACTGATCCTAAAGAGGGGCATGTTCTCCCAGAGAGTGATGGTGACTGCAACAGTAAGGTACCCGTTAAGCAATAAAGAATATTAACTGACAGTTTATAGTATGCACCAGGCCATACTATATTGAATTCCGTGCTCCTGCTTCGCTTGGTGGGGATTGTTTTCTTTGACTAAGAGTAATATAAAAGTAACTTTTTGCCTTCAGGCCGTAATTAGACTGTGTGACACTCCTGATTTTGATCAGTATGCTTGGCTGTTAGCAAGGAAGTGGCTCAGAACAGTATTTGTCATGAAATGCAATCGTGATGCTTTTAAGTAGGAAGAACCTAAAAGTTCCTCTGCAAGAGTGTCGTAAAATCCACCCCATTCATTATTTGTTAGGATCTTGAGGATGGTGCTGAGCACAGTGGGACACCTGCTTCTGTTGTCTGCTCAGTGCTGCTCTAAGAGACGTGCTACTAGAGACAGAAAACTGCTTTCATACTGTGATAAACTTCTGAAAAGTCTCAGTGAATTGAAAACAGCTGAAGTTTGCTTATGGATCCAACTTCTATTTGAGCTGGAATCCTCCAGTTTGACACACTCTCCTCATAAAGCAGGCTTTTTCATCTGGAGATAAATCCGGAGGGTGGATGTTGTTTCAGAAACACCGTTGTGTCTCCCATCATATTGCTTACTGCTGTTTTCTTCTGTTTGTTCCATCCAGCAAACCCTTCTACAGCACCAGCTTCCTCGTCAGGCCCTCCTTCTTTGAGGAAGGACTCAACCCCAGTCATAGCAAATGTGGTGTCCCTTGCGAGCACCCCTGCTGCCCAGCCTACGGTTAACTCCAACAATGTTTTACAGGGTAGGACTGTTAAAGTTGATTTCTCTATGTTTAAATCTCTATTCCTGCATATTTGTATTTGTTCAGGGGTCTTTTCCACTGAGGACAACGGCTTCTTGAGGGCTGCTGTCTTGTCCCTCCTTTACCTACGTGTAAATACTGACGTAGGTCTGTTCACTTGCAGTGGGGAATGAGGTTAAAGGAAATTCTTTTTCCCCACCTGGCAGAGTATGGGCTGTGGTCCCTGATAAGTGCACAGACTAATCCTGTGTGTTGCTTTTTTTTATCCACAGGAGCAGTCCCTACAGTGACAGCAAAAATAATAGGAGATGTAAGTTTTACAAGAGACTATTTTTCTCACTTTCGTCCAGATTGTATCAATAACAAGTAAAGTATCCAATATTTAGCACCTTAATTTTGTAACTATTTTTCCTGGTTCTGACTGACATTTAAGATTCATCCAGCTTGCAGTTACACACCTTATCCATTTTTAAAAATGTGTGATGTAAAAGTTCTCATGTGTAGAGTGACGAGTTGATTTGGTGGCTTAGCAAGGCTTATCAGACTGTGGCTCTCGAGATGGCAGCAGCTCTCAAGCACTTTGTGCATGGCTTTTGTACTGAAGGCTAATTTTTGTGGCCAGAGGTGGGATGTGATGTCAGAAGGGCTGCTGTGGAAGGAGGAAACCAGCATGTGCTGCTGGGACTGATGTTATCCACCTCTTGCAGCTTAGCTGTTCTTCCCCACTCCTTTGTAGTGTGGTAGTGAAGCTATGGGGAACGGCTGTCACTTCTTATATGTGACTAACTCCTAGAGTTCCTGTTCTTGGGCTCTTTGAGGTGTACATCTTGGAACTCTCTTAAATTAGGAAGATTTTGTTATGTAGCTGCTTGTTTCTGGGAGATTGGCATCCTTCCTTCTATCTGGAGGGTAATTTATGGATTAGAGTATCATTTTTTTGTAATGAAACAGATCGTGTTGTATGAACGCATGACTGGAAATCACTGTTGGCAGAGCACAAAATTAATGCAAGCATAAAAAGTCAGTCTGTGTATAATTAGGAAGTGATACTGGCAGCGTTTGTGTTCAGTTTTTTTCTATTCCTTTGCAGTGATTTCACATTGATTTACTGAAGGTTTTTTGAGTATATGTACCAGCCAGTATTTTTGTCATCAGGAGTATCTTAAGTGCTGATCTTAAAATTCTACTGCTGATAAAAAAGAAGTTTATAGAGGTTTGACTACAGAAACCAAATACCCTCTGAGATCTGTTTTTTGCTTTGCAGTAAAATAAGTTGATGTGAAGTGCAGAAAACACCAAAAAAACACCAAATAGCAAACAATTTTATGGGAGCTTGTAAATTTAGTTAATAAAGACAGTTTGAAATTGTTCAACATTTCCTAGCAGAGGACAAGTATGAATCTTACAATATCATACTGCAACCAATACTGACTGTGCCCTCGTTTGTATTTTTCCAAACAGGCAAGCACTCAGACAGATGCCCTGAAGCTGCCATCTTCACAGCCACCTAGGCTTCTGAAAAACAAAGCATTGTTGTGCAAGCCAATCACACAGACTAAGGCCACCTCATGCAAACCTCATACACAAAATAAAGAATGCCAGACAGGTATGTGTTTAATCTCCAACCTATTTTATAGAAGTCTGTAGTGCAGCCAGCGTGTGTGATTATGCAACAGATTTAGTAGTCTTTTCCTATGGTCTTGTAGTTAGCTGTGAGATGACTGTAATAGCATTTATTTGGCTGCAGACCACAGCATTTAGTTCCTCTCCTTTCCCTTCCACCATTCATGTATTTGGTCACTGTGCTGCTTATTTCCAAACTGTTCTGTCACTGTTTGTTCCAGCAGTGCTGACATGCGAGATGATTGTGAGCAAAGATGTGCTGTGCCCTTTGAGTGACAAGCAGAAGTCACTACTAGTGGAACACCAAGCAGTTGTGGTGGACACTGAAGTGTGTGAGGGTCTCATGGTCAAACCATTTTTGTTTTGTTTTTAATGTAACAGAGGAAGAAGAAGTTCAACCCAAAATCATTGTGGTACCTGTTCCTGTACCAGTGTTTGTGCCAGTACCCCTCCACCTCTACACACAGTACACGCCAGTTCCACTGGGGATGCCAGTACCTGTAAGTTATGCTCAAGTCCACTGAAGAACTGGTTTGCAGTTTTGGTTTTGATTAAGAGCCACGTGAATGGGCTTTCTGATTAGTCACATGAGTGGTATTTGGAGTCTGTGAAGCCATTTCCTTAGCACCTACTTCATTATGTCAAAACACCAATTTGTAGGGTAATTGCAGAGATGACAAGAAATGACAAAAAATTGTCCTGGAGTTATTTAAAATTATGTGTAGTCCTAAAAGTGTGTAAGTAAGATTAAATAAGTAGAATCTCCCTTGTGTGTTTGCTGCCTCCCTTCATCCCAAACAATCTCTCATAATTTCTGTATGTCTGTGTAGGTACCCGTTCCCATGCCTTTCCCAACTACTTTGGATAATGCTGATAAGATCCTTGAAACAATTCAGGATATCAAAGAGAAGATTCCCATAAGTCCTTTTGAAGCAGATCTCCTTCAGATGGCAGAAATGATTGCAGAAGATGAGGAGAAAGACAAAACACACTCTCATGGTGGTATGTGGTGCTTTTAAAAGGGAACTAAATGCAATGAGATAGAGGGGTCCTCTCCTCATGGTAAATAGGCAGAGAAATGGGTGTGTAGCCTCTGTTACCTGCAGAGCTTTGTGTGTCTTTGCATTCCTTTTCCTCAATCCTAGGTGCTGATTTAACTTACGTTGGCAGTAACAGGTTGCTGCTAATCTCCAGACCAGTACATCATGCACTGGCAGGAGACAAAATCAAGAAGGCAGAGCAACTGCTTTACAAGAATATTTTCCTGTCAGGCTTATGGTGGATTCCTGAAGGGTGATGTGGGTTAGAATGTGTTGGAAAGCAGTCATTCTATGCAACAGAAGTGGAGCAAGCTGAAAAGAAATGAACAAAATACTGCATTTGCCTACAGATGACTGCCAGTGACAAATATGGAGGGATGAAAATAGAACATGGGTTAATTCTTTTTCTCCCATAACAGTGTGAGCTAGGAGAGAGCTGTGATAAAACTGTAGTGGGGGGTAAGGTGTGGAAGCACTGTGACCTCATACATGTGTTTTTTTGGCATTCACAATAGTGTATTAGTTGTGTAGGCTGTAAATCATTTGTAGATGAAAGTTTCCTTCTTTCTCTAAAGGCTCTCAAACATCTGAGCATGAGCTCTTCCTGGACCCCAAGATGTTTGAGAAAGGTCAGTTTGACTTTTTCTTGCAAAGGGACTTTGATCCAGACATATCTTCAAACCCTTCTTTTTGTCTGTCCTTTCTGTAGCACGGGGTATATCTGATTGCTCTCATTACAGACCAAGGTAGCACTTACAGTGGAGATCTAGAATCAGAAGCAGTATCCACTCCACACAGCTGGGAGGAAGAGTTGAATCACTATGCCTTACGATCAAACGCCCTGCCAGAACCAGATCCAGAACCCAAGCAGATCTCCAAAGGTGAAGTGGAACAGGACCTGGAGGCAGATTTTCCATCAGGTCTGTATAACACTAAGAAAATTACACACAGCTTTGAGTCAACGTTGTCTGCTTAAGAGGGGGTTTATGTTTTCATTCAGTTAAACTGGATATTGAAAGCAGCAGCAATACGTCAGCTCTTCTAAAATTTGCTGTGTTTTTAGAATATTATTGCTATCTTTACAGACAGCATCTTACAGAACCACTGTTGAGAGTAGCACATATTCTTGCCTGACTCTCTTCAGTGTATCAGTTTTGTTCCTAGCTGTAATCCATGTTAGTGGTGCAAAAGAATATCAGTTCATCTGGATGAATGCAGCCACTGTTTGGGGGTGGGGCTTTTTCTTCTGAGTGCATTTATTGCCCAGTTGTTCAGTCATAAAGTGTTACATGAATATACAGATGTAACTGGAGTTGCTGGGGTACTTAGCATTTTATGTGACGCTTCTTCTCAGGCTTGTTAAATCATATAATTTAAATTCTTAATGGTGTTGATTTGACTTCAGACTCATTTGACCCTCTCAGTAAGGGACTGGGTTTGCATTCGCGTTCACGAGCAAGACGGAGGCACAGAGATGGCTTCCCCCAGCCAAAAAGACGGGTAAGAAAGTCCTCTGGAGTGTTAATGCCTTGCACTTACAGCAGTAATGTTAGATGAACCCCTGGCAGTACAAACAAACTATTGAGCCAGGGTGGAAGTGAGAATTCAGTTTAGCTACACGGCCTTTTTTCCTGTTCTTCATGATAAATACTTTCTTCTCTTCCCTGCATGTTAAAAAATGCATGTGTGTACCTTCACCTCCTCTCATGGGAGTAGCATTTTGTTACCATGTCAGTTTATTGCTCTCTTTATACGAGGTGAAGTGAAGCATCCATGGATGAAGTGCTTGCTAAGCTTTTATTTGCTTTACTTGCTTTGTTTTCCTGTAGGGACGAAAGAAGTCTGTAGTTGCTGCAGAGCCCCGCAATCTGATGCAGGGCTCCTACCCAGGATGCTCTGTTTCTGGGATGACCCTGAAGTACATGTATGGGGTAAATGCCTGGAAGAACTGGGTCCAATGGAAAAATGCACAGGAGGAACAAGGGGACCTGAAGTTTTCAGGTAAACAGGAATAATTTGCTGAATAACTCAGTATAATATGTTTGTCAAGACAAAATTCAGTTTTAAAATAGCCATAAGTAGACAAAAGTTTTCAGAGCATCTTGCATTTAAAAATCTCAGCCATTGCTTTCTTAGTTGATCCATTACCTTTCAAAGCAGGCTCTGAAATACCAGATTTCAACACGAAATGTTGGTCTTTTAACCTCACGTGTGTGTTCGTTTGCATGCACTAATTCTTCACTTCTAGAACAGCTGTTTTATGCAGCTGCAAAGCCCTTACTGTTACTAGACCACACTTACAAGCTGACTACACGGACTTGGCCCTGTCTTTCCATGTCTAGCTCATACATTCACAAAGTATTTGTCAGCATCAGTGTTTGCTGTAAAAAGCTGTGCACCACAGTGTTCTTTGTGAGCTGCTGGAAACAAACCTTCCACAAGTGCACCCATTCTGTGCTGCACTCTGCCTGAAAGTACCTTTAAAAGGCATGAATTGTTCCTTGGGTCTCACTGGGGTGATAGATAATAATGACAATATAAATGTCACTTCTGCTTGTTTTTCTAATTATGGATGTTTTTTGGGTTTTAGTTCTTGTACAAAAGCACAGCCCCGCTCCTGGGGTTTGGCACTGTCTGACTCCCCTTTTCCCTGGTCTCAAGTCTGTCTTACATGCTCACACTGAGTGTTTCGTGGGCAAGTTTTCAGAATGCAGCAGAGAATTTGATTTAGTTTTGTAACTGAGCTTTTTGAGGACGGTGGGGAAGAGAACAGGCAGTATTAAATGCTTCTGCAGTGCATAGATGTAGGTGTGGCAGAGCTTATATAAGAAAGATCCCAAAAGGGAAAATGCAGTTTAGAATGAGCTCTGCTTTCTCCTCTGTCATTACACGAGAGCAGCTGTTTTTTGTTTTAATCACATGAATGGTGGGCTTTTCTCATAGCTAAGAAAACAAAGGTTACCAACAGCTCCAGGAAACGATAGCAATCCCCACAGCAAGGTTCCCTGCTCAGCCCCAGGCAGTCGCTCAGCAGTGTGGAGTGGCCAAGCAGTCATTTCACTGCAGGTTCTTTGATCGATTCTCTGTGCTGCTTCATTTTGTGAATCTCACAGCCCTGTAAATTCACCATTCCTTTTCCCTTTAAGGAGTCGAATTCTCTGTGCTCAGCTCGTGCCCAGAACTACTAGGAAATATTCAGGATCCTTTTCTCCCTCAAGGTTCCCCTGAGTCCAGCTGTGAAGGATTTGCCAACCCTGCTATGCCAGCCCAAGCGCAGTTAGCATTGCTGCACCAGATCTTGGATGCAGTGAACCCCCTGGTGTTTAAGTGTAAAGATTTAATCTCTGGAATAAAGATACTCTGGAATAAAGATATTTCTTTAATCGTGTTCCTCACTGCAGTTCGTCCTGTGAAGCTCAAGGAGGACATTCTCTCGTGCACTTTTGCTGAGCTGAGCTTTGGCCTGTGCCAATTTATTCAAGAGGTGCGGAGACCGAACGGAGAAAAATACGATCCTGACAGCATCTTATACTTGTGCCTTGGAATTCAGCAGGTAAACCACAATCAGGATGCTGCAGAGAGCATACAAACTTGTAGTGGCCTTCTAGGCTTCGTACCCATAGTCTCAAGTAGCTGCTCGTTTTTTGTAGAGGTGAGAACGTATCTTTTTGTGCTTCTTTCTTAGTGTGGCTTAATCTCTTACTCTACTAATTTGTTTTTTGATCAGAGTAAACAAACCTCTTCTGTACTTGGGAGGAATGTGACGTGGAGGGCTTGACACAAATCTTTAGGTTTGGGACTGTATTTACCCCTTTAATGTATAGGAAAGAATTGTAGTAACCTGAGGTTCCTCAGAAGAATTTGATTTGTGGTTGAATGCTGTAGATCTAAAATAGCTGCACAGTGCTCTTCTGAGATGTGAGTTTACATGGAAGAGATTGCCTGGCAAAGGCTGTGCTCATTCCCTAGCTCTATTTCAGCAGCTCAGTCTGCTGGGCTGCTTTTTCAAGAATATTTTAATACCTAGAGGATGGTGATTTTTTGCAGAAGAGAGCTCTAGAGCTGGGAATAATGAAAATAATTCTGGCCTAGATCTCTCATTTCATACCAAGGAAATCCCAGTCCGTGCAGAAAATCTGATGTGGTATCTTACTGAAGATTTCATTTTGGACCATAAGACACTCAGACGTAGGAAGGGTGAAGCATCTGATGTCCTGTATCTCTGCAATGTTATGTATTCATAAATTACATGTCTTCCTTTTTTTCTCTCGTAGTACCTGTTTGAGAATGGTAGAATAGATAACATTTTTACCGAGCCCTATTCCAGGTTTATGATTGAACTTACAAAACTTTTGAAAATCTGGGAACCTACAATTCTTCCAAATGGTAGGACAATTATTTTATTTCGTGTAGCTGCATGACAAAGCCTTATTATGAGTATTTTTCTCAGTGCCATGAAGAAGGGTGTGATCTGAGGCATTCACATTAGTCTCCTCTTTCTCCACCATGCAGTTGTTTGTGGTAGACTAGAATCATGGATTGTGTGTCTGTCTCTACCAGTTATGGGTCTCACTTAAAGATTCCTTGCCCTCCTGTGATCGATCTCTCAGCTCCTTTAAAGGCTTCCCACTCCTGCAGTCAGTGTGCTGGTTCTCTTTGCTCAAGTTTGAGCTGATCTTTTTGAATGCAGAATTGTGTGCAGTGTTTGAGATGAGTTGCTTGGAGTGGAGCTGCAGAAGTGTTTCCACATCAGTACTGGAAATACTTCTGATCAATCAGGATCGTCTGAGGAGATCATTGGAGCCTTGTCTCAATCCTTGGCTCCAAGTTCTTCTCACCTCAATCGCATTAAGAGTTCCCCAGTCCTGCAGATATCATTAATTGTCCTTGAAGGATATTCATGCAGTTTATGAAGGTGGTCAGAAGCAATATGAAGATGTAAGATTTTTTTTTCAGATCGCCACCAAAACATGAGTGATACCAACAGCTCCATAGATGGATCTGAAACTGGCTTTTTGTTTACAACTCCCTGTTGGTGCAGAAATAACCCAATTACTTATAGGCAGCTGTGCACAGTGGAGTTTTCTTGCAGAACAAATCTTTCATCAGCCTCAATTTCTCCTTCCTAACTTAGGATGATAAAACTGGGTGATCTGTGTATAGAGATGGGGTATTTTAAACCCGTGCTCCATGTCCCAGGAGCTGGATGTTCCTGCAGTCAGCTGATTTAATGCAATTAAAACTGAGCGAGGTTCTGCTGATGTCTGTAGTCTTCCTTTGTATGCCTTTGTCCATTCATCAGGTGTTGAAGATGGTGCTGTTCCACAGCTTGGCTCTCCACGCTCCCTCTATGTCCCTGCATGCAGTGCTCTTGGTTTTATGTTGCAGTTACCTGTGATAGATCTGATTTTGTTCGAATGCACAGTTGGTTCATGTACAAATTTAGCTGGAAGAAGACTTAATTCATCTCTGACAGAATCTGCCAATGTAATTTTACTCATTTCTGTGTCCTGCTCTGCTCGTGTATGAGGGTTTGCTTTGGGAAGATGGGGAAAATCTCTTAGATGGCCAGCAGCCTGTAAAAGCCATTACATTCCTTTGTAACTGAGCATGAGGAGCTGTCCTAAAATTACACAGGTGACACTTCTTCTTTCTCTGCACATTGTTTCTAGGTTATATGTTCTCAAGAATAGAAGAGGAACACTTGTGGGAGTGTAAGCAACTGGGTGCATATTCCCCCATAGTTTTACTGAACACGCTGCTATTCTTCAACACCAAATACTTTCAACTAAAGAATGTCAGTGAGCACCTGAAGCTGTCCTTTGCCCACGTCATGAGGAGGACCAGGACCCTGAAGTACAATACTAAGACAACATATTTACGTTTTTTCCCACCCTTTCAAAAACAAGAGGTAGAATCAGGTGAGTGGATGCTTTGTGATCACTTCAGTTTCTGCAATCATGTTTCTATGATCTCCTCCTTATTTGAAAAGGGCAGGGGAGAGAAGCATAGAGTAAGCAGAGCCGTGGGTAGTTTGGTTTCTGCTGTTATCTTGCACTTTTTCCTTCACTCTGGGATGATTTAAAGAGAAACAGTTTGAAGGCAGCCACCTCAAGCAATGTGTTTCGAGGTGTTGCAGAGTCCAGTCAGGCTGGTGCTGAGCTCTGTGTAACCTTTCATGTGCTGCTCTTCTCTGAACTCGAGCGATGCCATTTTTGTGTGTCCAGATAAACTGTCTGTAGGCAAAAGGAAACGTGGAGAAGATGAGGAGATTTCAACAGCAGTGGAAATGGCTGAAAATGCAGATAACCCCCTGAGGTGTCCGGTGCGACTCTATGAATTTTACTTGTCAAAATGGTAAGTGATAGAACTTCATCTTTGATCTGCACCTAGATCAGAACAGGAATTCAGGCAGTGACTCTCCTCAGACATCTTGTTCTTTGTGAAAGAGGGTAGGAAAAGTGTGATTTAGGCAAAAGTGGTGATGGCTCTTGCTTGCTGAGATGTGAGATTAATTTTTATTTAGCAGTTAGAGACCAGCAAGGACACAGACACAAATCATTTTGTCTTTCCTGCTTGGTATCAACTTTAGGTAGATCTGAGAGCAGGTGGGGCGTGGTGTCCCTCAAAGAAAAGACACCAACAGAATGGAACAGGATCTCATTGGTGTCAGCTGCAACTCAAATAGATCACCAGATCACCCTCCAAAATGCACCTAGTGAGCTTCCTGCAGAGTCCCATGGCTCTGTTTGTGCCTCGCAGCTGCCCCGACTCTGTTGTATCTTCCTCCTATTTGCTTGCATAGCTTTAGATGTTAGCTGTCCTTGGGCTGAGAAGGATTTCCATGTTCCTCAAGGAATATCAGCTCCTGCAGAGCCCTGCAGCGGCACGAGCTGCACTGAGTTCGCTTTGCTGTTCTGATGTGAAAGCACCAAGGCCAAGCAGGAGGGATCCTTGCTCTGGAGGACTTTGTCCCTTCCTTCCAGCACGGAGATCTGATGGTCAGTTTGCCAAGCAGATGAGCTCCCGTTCTGCAGCAGGAGAAGCAGGCTGGGCTTGAGTTCTGCTGCTCCTTCCACATTTATTGTCCCAGAGCTGTGGAACGGAGGGATGGAAGGTTTTGTTTAGAGATGGAATGGCAGGCACTTCTGTCAGTCATACAAAGACTCCGGTGTTGGATGGTTGGTGTGGCTGACACTGCAGCTGAAGAGCTGCAGAAAAGAAGTCACTGAAGTCTTTGTTTCTTTGTAAGCAGCTGGAGCCAAGAGCTTGGGAGCAGCTTAAATGTCCACAGAGCTGAAGAGGGGAAACCAATCCCCTAACAGAAAGATTCTGACTGTACTGCTTCAACGGCAGTGTTGTGACCTCAGCGTGACTCCCGTTTTCCTTGTTGTTTCTCCGTGGCTTTTTTCTGAGTGAGGCTTTTAAAGCTGCCTTCTGTGATGTGTTTTCTTTTTCCGTTGACAGCTCTGAAAGTGTGAAGCAGAGAAGTGATGTGTTTTACCTTCAGCCCGAGCGCTCCTGCGTACCCAACAGCCCCATGTGGTATTCCACATTGCCCATAGACCCAGGGACTTTGGACATCATGTTAACTCGCATTCTTATGGTGAGGGAGGTACACGAAGAACTTGCCAAAGTCAAATCAGAAGATTCTGATCTTGAGTTATCAGACTAACTGAGGTGGGATGTTTCCCTTTGAACGCATCGGAAGCACCAAACTGTGAATACGTCCAGCTTTTGGAAAATGTGTATGAAATCAGCCAGGATGGTGTCACCTACAGGCATATTTGGAACCACAGCGGATGTACAAACTGGAACTGGAAGGAGACAAGCTCCATAAGCTGCAAAGAAGCAACGTCCTGTGGCAGGCAGCCGCGAATCCTCTGAACAAATTCAAGTTGAACTAACCTGTTTGAGTGGTGCATAAATCCTTTATCTGTGTAGGGTTTAAAAAAGAAAAAAAAAAAAAAGAAAAAAAAAAGAGATTTTTTTGTAAAGGAAAATGGTCGTGGAACATCTCCCATAAGGTGTCAGGCTGTGGCTCACGTCACCTCTCAGCCTGCTGGCTGGCAGTCCTTGCTGCCAAAGAACAGTGGAGATCTCGGAGGTCTTCACGGGAACAGGAGAGGATTTGGTGGTGTGGAGAGAACCAGGCGACTTCCGTGACAAACACCAACGAGCTTTTGTAATGTTTTTAAAGCCGGGATCAAACGCTGGCAGGCAGAGGCTGAGGGCACAGCAGGGAGCTGCTGAAGCCGTGGCTGCGGCGCCAGCCTTGCTGTCAGCCCAGGGCAGCAGCTCCCAGCCGAGCTGTGCGCAGTGCTGTAGGTCAGAGCTGAGAGCATCGCCTCTGGGTTCCCTCTGGGAGGGGGCAGCCGTGGGGCAGGAGCAGCAGATCCTTTACCTGCCCCCAGCTCTGCAGGCTGTCGATTCTAATCTAGCAAATACTGAGGTGCGTGGACGTTTTTTTCCCCCTTGAGGCAGCTTTCCTTTCTCCTCTCTCCCCACTCCTGTGGTTTTGGTTATTTCAGAGGGCAAATCCCCAGGGTTACTCGGACAAAGGGACGTGCACTCTTTCTCTTTCCACCCTTGCAGTGCAGTGTTGTCCGAAGGACGCAGTATTACTTCTGACAGCAGAACTGTGGCAGCCAGCAGCCCTGTGTGTCTTTCCCACCCCACGCAGGGAGGTGCAGAGGTGTGATGCTGGGAAGTCAGGAAGCCTTTGGCTTTGAAGAGAAGAGCTCCCACCTTGTGCTGAGAGGACAGGACCTCATCAGATGCTGTCCGTGCCTCCATACATAGCTGTGTGTTTCTGATGACTTAGCGACCACAAATCCATTGGAAACCCAAACTTTGCAGAAGAGAATGGTGTGGGTTTTCTCTAGTTCTGGTCAGCTGTCCATCTGCTGTAAAACAGGGGTCTGACATTTGATCTCGTCACTACAATTTCAAGAGGTGAAAATCGACAGCCTTTCGTTACCTTTTTTGTTTCGTTTTTCGTTCGTTGGTCGTTGTCTTTTTTTTTTTAATTATTTTTTTTTTTAGAGGTAACAAAAGTAATTTAACAAGAAAAAAAAACACAAATAAAATCAGAAAAGTAGCCTATTGACGTCGTGTAAACTCGGTAGTCCTGTCCCTTGCCTGTAACAGATTTCACTGATGTATTTTTTAATACAGAAAACTTATGTGAAAAGTAAAGCTGCCCCTGGTTGTGTCTGCTCCAAGCCCACTGTGTGTGTGTGTGTCCTGCCCTGCTCTGCTCTGCCCTCCTGGGCAGGATCCTGGTTCCCTTGGCTGTTGTCCATCTGTTCTATTGCAGAAGCTGCCCTGGCTGCTCGGAGGCTCGTTGGAGGTTGGTTTCATGCTCTGAACGCCGACCTTCCCTCCCCACGGCGGTGTTGCAGTGGTTTGAATGCAGGCACGGCGTTTTGTGCTGGGATGCTTCAGGGAAAAAGGAGTTCAGTGACCGCATGGCTGGGTTTGTAGGGGGTGGAAAGAAGCCCGAGCTGCATTGGTGACAAATGGAGCTGTGTCTGAATCTCAGTGTCAGGAGGAGGGAAGGAGCCAGGAGCTGCTGCATAACGCGTTCGGTTTGCCCTGGCTGGAGCCCGTTGCTTTTTTGTGAGCACTTCTGCTTATGTTGATTTTATTTTTCCAGGTACTTAGAATGGGAGGGATTTGCCCTCAGCAGGGAGAGGTGAATCCCTAAAAGCGTGGCTGGCTGAAGGCGGTTGTTCCCCATGGTAAAAAATCCCTTTTATCTCATGGCTCTGAGGCAGACAGGGCCGCTGGGTGGTGCGAGGATCAGAACAGATGCTTTCGGTTTCCATTCCGGATTGAGATCCGCCCTGGGCGCTGTGCTGAGGCTCCCAGCCCTTCGCGGTCACGCAGGTCCGAGGCACGGAGATGACGCAGCAGTGCTGGAGCTCTGAGAGCTCAGATGAGGCGCTTTGGGACGAGAGCTGAATCCCCTGCTGGCCGTGCAACGCCGTGTATTGACGGTGTAAGCTTTGGGGGAGGAAAACCTCGTGTTGGAGAGGAGAGAAACAGCCACGATGAGCGCAAGAAGGGCGACGCCTCGTGCTGGAGGCTGTCCTCCCCCATCCCCGTGCCTTCCACTGCTGCAGCCCGCCTGGCTGCGGCTCGGCGCACAGAGGCGACGCTGTGGCTGTTGGCTGGGGAGGACGGGCGGCGTTTCTGAGGGTGTTGCTGCAGGGAACGGCAGCGCAGGGCTCGTGCAGAGCAGTCGGTGCTCGCAGTGTTGGTTCAGAGGTGCTCAGCCCGGTGTCTGCGGGTGGATGGAGGAGCCTGGAGGCGTTTGGTGTCGCAGTGAGGTGCAGAAAGCGGCTCAGTTACGATAGGAATTGCTCTGCCAGCTTGAGAATGAAGGCAGGCTCTGGGTTTCTCTGGCTGTAACCTCCAGCCAAGCCACGTCCCCTCGGAGACACAGAGTGAAAGGGCACTGCAGCCCCTGCCTGTTTCCTGCAGAGAGCAGAGCCGTGGGGCCGGGTGCTGCAGAACCTTTGGGTTCAGTTGCTGACTGGGGGAGGCCTTTCAGCCCCGTGAGCAGCGCAGAATTTTGGGAGGAGGTGGTGAATGTGAGCACAGGGCACAGCTGGGACGAACAGAAAGCGCTCCTGCACCCAGCACTGCAGCTCCATCTGTCCTGCATCTGCAGGAAGGGTCGCTGAGCTGAGCTGCTGGTTTCTCAGCAGAGATTTGGGTTTGCATTGAAGGAAAACCAGGAGTGCAGGAGGTGGTGATGATTCACTTGGAGGGAAGGAGGGCATTGCCACAGGAAGCTCTCGAGCTGGACGAGGCATCAAGCACCAAATCTCCACCTGCCCCCCATGCGCACAGATGCTCGGCAGCGCTGCAGTGACACCCAGCTGTGGGAGCCCCTCACCCTCCTCTCCCTATTTATCTGGAAGGCAAAGCACAGCACTCAGAAAGGCCTCTGAGAGCCACAGGGGCTCCTCCCTCTCGCCCAGGGCTTGGTAGCACTGCTCTGCCCCCTCCCCTCTGCAGCCCCGGGGCCTGACAGCACTGCTGTGCAATGGGTGACGCCTCCCGTGCGCTCCTTTGCCCCTCTGTACCTCGGTTGCACCCCTCTGTAAATTGGCCAGACTTTCCTACCTCGTTTGGGCATTATGAGGCTAAATTCCATAGGATGCTTTGCAGCCCTGTGATGAAAGGTGCTATATAGCTGCAAAGCGTTGACTTCAAGATTCAAATAGGTCGCCAGTGCATCATAACCTATATGAAAAAGACTTCTTTTTCTTATATGAGAATTTATAGAGTTCAATGTATGGTATTAATAAGTGAATTCCTGAGACCCCCCCCCCCAAAAAAAAATAGTTTTTGTTGGAATCGTATCTGTATTCTGCAAAAGTGATTAAAAATCTTTAACCTCAACCCAGAGTGCAGCCTGGTTTCCTGCGTGCTGTTTCACTCCTCCAGCAGAGCTCCCCGCTCCCTGCCCCACACCGTGGATAACGAGGCTCTCCCTGAGCCCTGCGCCCACCTTTTCCATTTCCTTGCACCGCAGGACCTGCGTGCCCCTCACCCGGCCCTCCCGTCCCCCCCAGCACACACACGGCCACCAGTTCGGTTGCTCTGCCGTCTCTTTATTGTTCTGTGCGATGCGCTCCCGTTGCCGATCACGCAGCGGCGGCCGCGCCGTCTCTCGGCGTTTCTGAGCTTCTCCATCCATCTCTTAAGGGATCTTCGATCCGATCAGCGCACCGAGCGGCCCGAACACGGAGGCCAACCCGAGTTTGACACCAATGGAAAGGCCGGCGGCTCCTGCAGGGACAGAGAGCGGCCGATGCGAGCGCAGGGCGGAGGCAGCCGAGAAGCTCCGACCCGTTCGGCGCCCGGGCGGCACGGAGCGCGCGTCCAAAAGCGCAGGATCCCTTCCCCAAACCGATCCCTTCCTCCACCCAGGCTCTGTGCCACCCCCCAACCTTTCGGGTGAACGAAGTCGGCCCGCAGCCCCGCGCTCACCGACCGACTGCAGCACGGCCACGATGCTGCCCGCAGCCACTCCGCCGCCGTTGGCGATGGCCGCAGCCGACATCATCTTAGCGCCTATGGAGCCCGCGGTGATGCCGGCAGTCGTGAAGCCCAGCGACGAAATGGTTAACGGGACGGCCACGAGCACCGCTCCTGCACCGGGACATCGCCGCGTTAACGCAGCCCTGCCGGCTCTGCGCCCGACGGAGCTGCGGGATCCCGCGGGGTGGCGATGCCCCGATCCCACGAGGCAGCCGATGGCCCCGGCCCCGAGCCGCTGCTGCTTCCCCCATCGCACCGCCAGCCCTCACCTGTTGCAACGCCGCACCCCACGAGGGCATGAATGATCGGTTTCACGGCTGAAGAGGAAGAAAGCAGAGAAAGCGTTGCTCGGCTCTCAGCCCTGCAGCCTCAATTCCTCCCCCCCCCCCGTTTCCCGCAGTACCTGCCGCCTGTAACATCCACACAGCACCTCTGAGCACCCACGAAACACCAGCGGAGCAGGGAGCCCAGCACTGAGCGCAGCGATCCCCGTGTTGTGATAAGAGACGGGGGGGGCGGGGGGGGAGGAAACAAGCGGTGATGTAAGGAAAGTGAATTTCCAGGAAATCCGTCTGTTTGCTTTCGGTTTTGCTAAGTTTTCTGGATCGAGCCCAGCGTTTAACCCTTGCCATGCCGGTTCACATTGCTGTGCAGGGAGGAGGGGGGTGGCGGCAGGGCTGGGTGCCGCCTCGCAGTGCAGCGCACGGCCGGGGGTGGATGGGGCAAAAGGAAGGAGCCGGAGGGTCAGAGCCTCCCGTCTGCGATCGTTGCTTTATTGAGGTCTGACAGCGGTGAAGCTCTGCACTTCTGGATGAGGAATGGTGGACGTTCCCAGCTCCTCCCCCTCCGCTCAGCAGCTTCAGAAAAACGCCCCAGCCCACTCCTTCCCAGCCCCCCCCACGCCCCATTGCCCCCTCCTTACCCTCTGCGTCCCCTCCGTGTCCCCAGGCCTCGTGTCACCTCCTGCCGCCTCGTGTCACTGTGTGCCCCACTGCAGCTGGTTGAAGGGGACCAAATCCAGTTGTAGTTGATCTGGTTCCTTTTTACCAGCCCCAGGGACGCACCGCTCCGTCGCTCCGCAGAGGCCATCAGAGCTGCTGGAAGTGACGGGGTCCCAGCACGGGGGTCCCAGCCCAAGGATACATACTTCTTAACATTCCATAACGCCGGCCGACTCCATATGGGCATATGAAGAAGTATGTAGGGTTGGGAGGAAGAGGAAGAGGCAGCAGACACAGGGCTGCTCCTGGAGGCAGCCCCAGCCCACGGGGGCTTCCAGCACAACCTCCAACCTGCCAGGTGTGCTCCATCTCTTCCCCATCTCCACTCATCAGCACCAACCCCAATGGCACCCAGCTGCAGCCAAGCACTCATTAACCCGCCCCAGGCCCTACCAGGGTCCCTTCTTTCCCACAGCTGTGCTGGCTCACAGTGCCCCCCCCAGCACCCCTTACTGCACTGCAGTCAGGGACGGGGATGGGGGCACAGCACCAACCTGCATCCCCTCCTTTACAAGGCTGGGATCGTGCAGGAGCCCTCGTCCCCCACAGCATCTCCTGGCACAGCAGGCTGAGGGCACCTCTCCCACTGTGGGGATTTGGGAGTGTGTCTGGGGTTGGAAACCACAGTGAGGGGTGGAGGGGGCTCAGCAGACCCAGTGCAGTGTGACCACAGCCAGGGCATGGTGCTGGGAGGGGACGAATATGACACCAGCTGGGCTGTGTTGTGACCCCAATGACCTTCCTATCCCTAATCTCAGAGCTGGAGCACTGCATGGGAACACAGAGACAGGCCCTGTGGGGCAAGGGGGGCACAGGAAGCCTCTGTGGGGCTGTAGGGGCACCCAGTGCGGCCGTGACTCAGCGCCCCGTGTGCTGCAGCTCTGCAGGAGCCAGAGACAACCAAAGCAGCAGAGCCTGGGGGTGCCCTGATCCCCCCCAATGCCATGGGGCTGCCCAGAGCCACAGACACCGTGGGGACACGACTCCCAGGGGCCGGGTCACCAAGCTGGTGGCAGCTGGAGATGCAGTCCAGTGCCCCCAAAAGCATTCTGAGGGCATCCTGTGGCTGCGCCGCAGGGATGTCCCTGCTTTACCCCTTTGGCTTTTCCAGCCCTGAGCTGTGCTGCAGGGGTGTTTTGGGAAGTGTGAGCCCACGGCTCTGCCCACAGCTGAACCCCCACCATCAGGATGTGGGGTCAGAACCGTCTCATCTCAGACAGATCAGCTCCAGTCGTCCCCAGGCACAACTCCCAGCCCCGCACTGCTGCTGTCCCCCAGCCCTGGGGTCACACGCGGCTCCGTCCCACAGCTCAGCCCTGCAGCCCCCAGCCGAGCTCTCACAGTGACCTTGCAGGGCAGCACCCGGCACTGCGCTCACCCCAAAGCCCCCACATCCATACCTGCACAGTTCCAAGCATGAGGGAAAACGGGCTGACAGGGGGAGGCAGCGGCACGGGGGGGTGCTGGGGCTGCCCGTGGTGTCCCACACGCTCACACAGCACCAAACAGCCCCGGCCTGGCTATAAAAGGAAGCATCTTTTTTGCATGCTGTGCCCCAACCACGCGCCCGGTGTTGGTGGCCTCACCAAATGTCACTGCTCAGTCAGTGCATCGCCCCACAACAACCGGGCTGTGGGCACGCTGCCACCTGGGGGGTTGTCACCCTTATCTTTAGCCATGGAGCATTTGGGGGCCCACAGTGCCATGCTGCTTCGCCATGTGCGGGGCTGAGAGTTGGGCATCCCATCCCATCCCACCCCGCAGCATCAGGCATCCTCGCACCACTCGCCCGTTGGTACCCCAGCCACCCAGGGCCACCCCCACTCCTCCTCCTGCCCTACACACGGGAACCCCCCTCAGCCCGGAGCTGTGCCCACCCAGCTGCCATCAGCAGAGCCGCGGTGCTGCGAGCAGCGGCCGCATCCCCACCCGCGCGGTTCTGCCTTCCAGCGGCGCTCGCTGAAGGTTAAACGCCGGCAGTAGGAAAAGCCCCGCAGCGCCCCGCGCCCACTCCCTCCCTGTCCCCCCCCCGCCCCCCCCACTCACTGCCCTGGAGGCGCCCGGTTCGGAGCTCCGGTGGCAGCGGCTCTCCGCGTCCCCGCCAGCTGCACGCCGCTCCCCGTGACTTTGCCATAGGACTCCTCCGGTTCGTCCGCAGGAGCTTTGCAGCATCCTCCGGTTCAGCTGGAGAAGTTCCCTCACCGGAGAGGGAGGAGGGAGGGAGGGATTTAATGCAGCCCCCGCCTGAGCTGCGGGTGCCGCCGGGCTCAGGCGAAGCCCCTTCGGGCACGGCCCCCTCCCCGCCCCGCGCTGGGCCGCCGGGATGCGGCTGTACCCGACGACGAGCATCTCCCCCTCGGGGCCGCGGCCGCCTCCTCCTCCCCCCGCGTCCCCCGGTTGTCCCGCAGCGCCCGCAGCCCTCGCCCTGGCCCAGCAGAGGCGCGGAGATCCCACGGGGCGCGACGGCCTTCGCCGCTCAGACCCCGCGGGGATGCGGACACGGTGGGCGCGGGGATCCCGAGCGGAACGGGGACCCCCGGCAGAACCACCCGGCTGAGCCCGGCACGGCGGGGCTTTTAGGATCACGGCGCAGAGCGATGCTGCTCTGCCCACCCCGCTCATCCCCCCCGGCCCTACCTCTGTGCGGGGTCAGCACGGGGACCCCGCGGTGCTGCCCATCCCGGCACCGACGGGCAATGCACGCCCCGCGGTGCGGCTGCCCCGGGTGGCTGCGCTGCTATTTTTGGCAGCCTCCGAAGAGCTCCTCTCGGGCTATTAATAATGAGAGTGCGAAATTCGTTTGGCCTCTCCTATATAAGGAAAGGTAGAGGCTCAGAGGCAGCTAAATATACTGGCGCGTGCGGGAGCGAGTGGGGAGGCTTTGGCACCGGGTGTGGAAAAGGGATCGTTGGAACAATGGAAAGACAGAGCGAGCTGCGCAGACGGACGGACGGACGGAGGGATCCCCGGGGTGCCCGCAGGCAGCGCCCGATGTCCCAGGGCTGCGTCTCTGCGGCAGAAGCACGAAGGGCAGAGCAGGAGCGGCCGGGATGCGCGCAGCACCGCGGTGCCACCAACACAGCCGCGTCCTCCCGCACCTCAGCCCCACCGCTGCCCCACTGCTGCCCGCAGACCTGAAAGGCCCCGGCAGCTCCCAGAAGGGACAGCAGAGATCCGGGGAATCCCAAAGACAGGAAGGCAGTGAGGAGCGGTGCCAAACCCACACGGTCAGAGCAAGGACAGCGCGGGCAGAGGGGTGAGAACTGCTCTCAGCCTGAGCTCCACGAAGAGCCCTTTTCTGTTCTCCTTCTAATTCCACCTGCGTGAGGTGGTGGGAGTTAAGAAAGCAGAGAGATGAGCAGCGGCAAAACACCTCCCCTCTTCATTCACCAGAAACACTTGGTTAAAAACAATTACGTTTAGCCTCGATCCAATTAACGCTGCAATCAGGCACCGTGAAGCAGAGCTGGGCAGGTTGGGCGGCCCGCTGGTATGCAGAGGAGTGAAGGTTTGAGAGCAAACTGTTTTAAAACTGGATGGCAGCGTTTGCCTCCATCATCTTAACGAGGGTTCAAAGTAAATTTATGTGAAAGGAAATAAAACCAGAGGCTCCGAGCGTTTGTCCAACAGCCGCCTCCGCCTGTAACTTCCACACATGGGTGTCTCTAATTGTGAAATCATAATGCATAGCAATGCAGAAACCTTCCCCGTGCAAGGTCAGAGAGGGACCACAGAGCTCGGGTAGCAAATGAGCAACGCTGGTGGTGACGTGGAGGGGGGAAGAGGGGTTTGGGAGGAACGCGTTCACTCTCACGCGCGGCCCCGAGGAGCCGCGTTAAGGGCGCCTTGTGTCCCATCGCTGCAGCACGGCAGGGTTCTCCTCGTCCTCCTGCCCAGCGCCGGGCCGCGCTCTGCACGCTGTGCCCCGTGCGGTGATGCCGAGGCACTGAGGGTTAAACGGCAGCGCGCTCCGGTGCCGCACGGTGAGGGAACGCCAACGGGGAGCGCTGCGCCGTCACAGAGCCGCGCTCGGCGCTGACAGATGGCAACGGAGGGAAATCCTGAGTGGGGAAACGCCGCAGCAGCTGAGCGAGGCGCCTCAGCCTCCGTGTGTTTCCCGTAGAGAACGCCGAGGACAAAGCAAAGAACCTCGGCCGTGCAGCTTTTTGGTTCTTCCCCCTCCAACGCTCTGCGCTCGCGGTGATCGTTACTGATCTCTGCAGCGGGGAGAGCCGGCGCGCACAGCACTGCAGAGGGGATTCCCCCACGAGGACAGCGAGGGATGCGCAAGGCAGAGCGGCACGGAAGGAGCCCCAGCGCCACGTCGGCTCCATCCCCCCAGCTCCAAACCCTCCTTCTCTCGAGCTCCGTTCGTCCTCCATCCGAACGAGAGGGCGGCGGTGCCCAAAAACGCCGGGCCGCGAGCAGCCCTGCAGCACAGCACCGAGCTGTGAGCCTTCCAGATGTGGGGGCACCTCTGTGGCACAGCATCCCTGCGTGTGGGCTGAGGGGGAGACAACGGACGGCCCAGAACATAAACTCAGCAGCAGCCATGGCCACATTCAGCAGGGCGACGTCCCCCCGCCTTCGATAGTGTTTAATCTTCAACTCGCTCGACACAGATCAGTAGTGCAGCAATATAAATACAACCGAGGAAGTCAAAGCCTTT